TGCGGCCCTCGTCCGCAGCCGCAGGAACTGCGCGTTCCGAGCCTGCTTGAGCTGACGACCTGCCGGGGTGAGGTCATCCCGGAAGGTGATGCCCGCCTGGTTGGGTCGTGGCTTCTCAGTGCGTACTTCGACGCTGAGGAAGGAGGCCTGGAGGCTTCCTCCACTGGCATCGGAGACGACTTGGGTGATGGCTTCCGCTGCTTGCTTAGCGGTCGCGAGAGCCGGGACGCCAAACGCGATCAGGGAGCCGGAATCGTAGTAGGCAGATTTGCCGGTCAAGTTCCTACGCTGTTTAGACCCGGTGCGGTCGGTCGCAAACGTAGGGGCCCCCGCGAGCTGAGACTGCACAGTTTCGATGATGAACTGCGCGGCCCGAACTTCGAACTGCTTCATTTCGGTCTCCACCTTTTTGGTAATTATTTCCGGAATATTCTTTTCCAGCGAGTCAACACGAGCAGCCAGCGCATCTGTCTTGCTATGCAAGGAGTCGAAGGACGCCTTGGTCTGTGTAGCATGGGTCTGAAGCAGCTTGTAAATCTCATCTAAAGATGGTTCTTTCTGAGTGGATCGCGTCATGGAGTCGCCTGCTGCCGCCTCCTCAAGGGCAGCGGCCGAAGGCGTAGGGTACTCCTTGCCGGACCTCAGAACCCGCTTAGACGGGCTTTGTGGGCTATGCCAGCTGTTCTACAGATTCTGGATCGCTGGCAAAGCCAATGCGAGGGGCTTAGCTGTGATGTTGCCAGGGTGGTGTGGTAGGCGTGAACTATTGTAAACTATTGTAAACTATTGTAAACTTGTGGTTCGTCTTTCCCCTCCTCTCCCTTGTGGTTCGTCTTTCCCCTCCTCTCCCTTGTGGTTCGTCTTTCCCCTCCTCTCCCTTGTGGTTCGTCTTTCCCCTCCTCTCCCTTGTGGTTCGTCTTTCCCCTCCTCTCCCTTGTGGTTCGTCTTTCCCCTCCTCTCCCTTGTGGTTCGTCTTTCCCCTCCTCTCCCGTGTGGTTCGTCTTTCCCCTCCTCTCCCTTGTGGTTCGTCTTTCCCCTCCTCTCCCTCCCCCTTGCTCACCTTGGTGGGGCCCCGTTCACCTGCCGCCCCTCCCCCTTTCTCTCGCTCGCTCTCTCCCTTTTGACGGTGTTAATAATGTTAACCGGCCTCTACGATTAGATGTTGGAGTAGGAGTGGGAGCTGCGGGGGAGATATTGCTAATGTTGTTTGCCTCGTATACTAATCTAAGCTTCTCCTCCCTTGCTACTGCCCCCCTGCTACTGCCCCCCTGTTCCACGAACTCCAGGAGGCGCCGCCTTCCTCTTGCGCGAGTCGCTGCAGCGAGAAGACCGGCTGGTTCAGCAACGCGGTGCTGCAGCGCATGCAGGTAAGTCACCGCTGTCGGGGTGTTGGCGGTGGCGGTGAGGGAGAGCCATGTAACTCAGCCACCCAGCCGGCCAGTCAGTCAGTCAGTCGGTCAGTCAGTCAGTCACTCAACGAAAAAGATATACTGCTCGCCCGGATGTGTCTTGTACGGAGTGGCAAAGGGACTCCACTCTCCCGGGACGTTCGGAGGACCTAAAGTGCCCCCCGGCCCCCCAAGCTAATGGTCGGTGCCGAGAATTAATGAATATGCAGTTTGTACCCGTGTGTGCTACTACTACTACTACTACTACTACTACGACGACGACGACGACGACGACGACGGGATGTGCGGGCAATGGCACATCTGGCAATCGGGCTCCACATAACCTATGTGCTACTGATGCGTGTGGCCTTCCTTGCACCTTTCTCATTATTCACCTCAACCTACTCATACTTCCCTCCCCCCGACGCCGAAGCGCTCTATAGGGGCCATGCCGCTTCATGCGAGCTAGCGAGCGCATGATGTTTGGACCCGGTGTCAGTGTCAGCGTCCTGCATAACGGCGGATGCTACTAGGTGCTTGCCTGTGTGCCTATGTACGCCCCGGTACCTACGTCCATCCATTGGGGGGCGTGGGGGAAGGGCGGTCCCGTCCCACGCAGGGACATTTCTTATCCTATTCTAAGGACAGCGGCTTTACCTTCGCCCAACCCCGCTATGTTGCTGTTACATATGTATGTGTGTAAGTATGTATGTATGTATGTATGTGTTAAAATGTTATTCGCCCATGCGGACCTCGATATGTGCCTATGCAGGGGGCCATACAGCAACGTTTCCTGCAACTCATGGATGAGCTGGCGCCGCCTGGGATGAGCTCCACAGCGGCGGCGGCGGCAGCGACGGCAGGCGGGAATGCGAACGGCAACGAGCCTGGCGGCGCCGCCGGCAGCGGCAGCGGGCCACATAGCGGCGGGAGCGCGTCTGCAAGCCAAAAGTGTCCCTCCGCTGCTGATGGCGGTACCGCTGGGGGCGACGGTGATGTGGAGATGATGGATGCTGACGGGACAACGGCGGCAGCAGGAGTAGCGACGGCAAGCGGGCGCGCCGATGGCGACGGCGCTGGTGGCGCCGCCACTGCCGCTGCGGCGGATGTCGCGCTCCGGGCCCTCATGGCACAAATGAATCTGCGTGGGCTGTCCTCGCCGGATACGGGCAATGGCGATCTTGATGTGACAGGTTTATTCGGTAGCGATGATGAGGACGACGAGTTCCAGCTATTGGACGAGCAGGAAGAGCCTGGCGGTGCTAGCAGGCGTGGGGTGAGTGGTAGAGCAAGGGGCGACGGGATGGCGACGTCGGCAGCAGCTGTCATGCCCGAGGGCCGCGGTAATGGCGGCAGCGCCGCCGCTGGTGGAAGTGGTGCCATCGGCGGCAGCCGCCGCCCCGGCAGTGGCGCCGGCGCCGCCAGCCCGAAGGGAGATGAGGAGGCGCTGGGCGATGCCTCCGACGGAGAGGACAGCGCAATGGAGTCCGAGTACGACATTGGCATGGCCGAAGAGGAAGAGGAGGAGGAGGAGAGTGATGAGGAGGACGAAGGGGAAGGGGGGGAGGACGACCGTGGTGGCGACCTGGGTATGCGGCTGGGTCGCCTGGCTGGCGGCATGTACTCTTATGACGCATATGGCAGGGTGACCGTGCCGTACGACGGCAGCGCGCCAAGCCGCGGCGGCACGGAAGGCATGTTTGGTAGCGAGGATGACGACGAGCCGTACTAGGACACATCCACCGTTCTACACTCTTGACGTTGCCATAACCGCTTTCCAGCGGTTCTTTTGACGGGGATTCGGGCCCTCCGCATATCATGCGCTCCGAAAAAAGTACCTTTCCGGTGTCTGCGCGGACGTTGAAACCTTGAGCACACCGCGCATGTGCTCACGCTCTATCTGGTGCTGGGAGTTGAAGTGAATGGCAGAAGCCGCAATCCGGATGGACTCACCCCCGGGGGGACCCGCGTTGTCAATATCACCCATCCACCAACCCGCCCAGAGCCGCATCCAGACGTTGGCTTCTGGAGGCGCTTCAGGAGGACCGGCTGTCCGGGGTAGGATTTGTTTCTGGGGTAGGGTTGAACTGGCCACTGGGGCAGGAGACCCATGGGGAAGGAGGCTGTGGGTGACAGGAGCCCCGTGGAGTGTCCTGTGTTTATATAGCGGAGCCCCCCGTGGAGTATTTATACAGAGGTAGAAGCGGCTGAGTCACGTGCACGCGACGTGCATGATGGCACCTGCCAAACTCCACTTTATGTAAGACACAGGAGGCGGCGAGCTACGATGAGCGGTTTGGGTGAAGGATGAAGGACGAACGTACGAAGCATGATGGCGGCATCGCGCTCGAGACGGGGTCCATCTAGCCCTCAAGGGAGCAATGGGGCCCGCGACATCCGGTAGAAGATGCGGTCCTTGGCTCGCGCTGCCTCTTCAACGAGGCGACCGGAAATAATGGACCCGCCGAAATAACGACCTAAAATGGACTATGGAAGTTCTTTGATAAAAAGTTGAGTTTCTTTTCTTTATGTGGCCAACACATGCTAAGGTTTTCATTCCTCGTTTAGTGCATCGTAAGCTAATGCAGTTTCGTTTATGTTGCTGGGTTTTGGAGGCAAACAGAGCACGAAGGGGCAATTACCATGTCCCCAGGGAGCAGCGGTTTTGCCGCTGTTGTGGTACTAATTGCCAAATCGAGGATGAAAAACACGTGTTATTGGAATGCCCGGCCTATAATGATATTCGTGTGGAGGAGGGATTCGATCATCAACAGAGCATGTTGGAGGCCATGAAATGGGTTCCAGTACGTCTGGTGAGGATGTTGGAACGTATGTGGGCTCACCGCAACTCAGTTATTCCCTTTGGGCGCTAGCCTGGGCTGATAGTGCGGTGTTTCCTGTTCTCCGTGGCTTTTAGGCGTACTTTTAGGCGTATAGATATTGCCCTTGGGCCTTCAGCTCGTATGGGTAGTTTTACAGGTATGGGGTCACGCACCCCCAACCATGTAACACACACACATACACACAGAGTTTCTTTTCTAGCTGCTGAGGCTTTATTAACCCTTTAAGAGCCCAAGTCTGGGAACCTGTGCCCGCATCAGGGTCGATGAACATATCACTCCAAGCTGTTGCCAGAATGTGCGAACAGGACAGACATTGTAAACGGAGGTTTCCATCCCGCTCGAGCAGAAGAGGGGTCCCAACCCGTCCTGTTTCAGTATTGCGTTGCATTGCGTTGGGAAGCTTTGCTTGGTCATAAAGAAGGCTACATACCGACTACGGATTTCGAAAGCTGGGCCGAAAGGGACCGACCGACCACGCAGGCAGGCAGTTCCCAGCTTCCAGATTTTGACGGCCGCGGTCCAGCACAACTCAAGTCCGAGCAAGGAAGACTCGAACTTAGCCCTGTAAGTGATGTTCCATTTTGGCAGCGATTATCCATCAGAATTCTGTGCCTCACAACTTCAGGTTCATAACGTAACGTAACATGAGGTTGACGGTTAATCTGCCGTTTTGGCGATTCCGAGTTACGGTTACGGTTTTGCAGTCGATCGCCATCGAGCCTGTCACTCAAGCGGCCTTAATAAAAAAATCCATAGGAACTACGAGGCTTTCTACAGGAAGAGCGCGGAGAGCGTGACGCCGATTCTGTCCAGTCTGTCGCATAGCAGCCGTTGCGTTGTTTTCCTCAAATTGCGAAAATATACGCAGAATTACTATTTGCGACCAAAATATTCAGGCTTTTAGGTGAGGGCTTCCGCGGTCCTATGCACAATACTGCTGGCGTTGAGCACAAGAACAATGTGTTGATGGAGTATAGCGCCTGGCGATACTTGGCAGCGAATGTGGCCCTCTACAAAAATCTGCTTGCGCATTCTGGGTTGCAGGTGAGTTCGAGGGCGTGTGACTTGCGAAGGCAGGCAGTTAACAATTTTGCGGGCGAAGCGGGATTACGTTTTACGCATCAGGATAATCGTCAATCGACTAAATACGCATAATTTCTGCTTACCCCGCCACATTCATTTGCTAAGATGTACGTGTCCATGAGCTCTTTTGCGTTTTAGCGTGGGCCTCACCAGGCCAAGTAGCTTGCGTCGAATAACTATGGCGTTTTCGTGGTATGAAACCTTACACAAATAATTTAACATAAATCATCAGCAACCCTTTGCTAGAGCGACAGCCGTCATGTCGCAGAAAGCAGACCTGAGCGAAGCCCTCACCTCTGAAAAGGCACAATCGAAGGCATCGAAATGCGCGTTCTGCGCAGTCTACACACGAATACCCACGAAACATGCAAGCACGTTTTCAGTTGTTTCATTTGGTGTTTGGTACCTTCAGTAACGCGCATGACCCGGCCTGAAAGCACTCAGCATGTCACAGCAGGGGTACCAGCAGTCGCATGAACTTGTTTCGCCGAGAAAGGAATTTGCATCTTCCAGCCGCCTCTTTGTGCTCCAATTCAAGCCCGTCTAAATGTTATGCATTGACCTTTTAGAGCTTAAAGCACTCATATGTATATGGCGCGGAATGGGCAACCAGGGTCCTGCAAGCAAACAAGGTCCAAACGCCGGAAGAGGAAGAATCGCTGGCCATGCCCAGATAATTCATCAGGCAACTACCTGATGTCTGTCGTATCTCCTGGCATCTCCTTAATCAGGCAACGGTTGGTGATCTCGGCTTTCCTCCCAAATCTCGGCTTTCCCCCCCCCCCCCAAGGTGGACGGCGCGCTGTTGAAGCGTGTTCAACACGAAAAACGTGAGAGGTTTCGTGCATATCCCCGGAAGCGAGGGAGGGAAGGCAATTAGGACAAATTGGCTCCTTCCACTACGCAGCTCGCTGCACGCACGCTGGCAACCTGCCTTGGCCTGCATCACCTGACGCCGCTGTGGGAGCGCGGTAATTCTCCAATACTTTTACTCGTGCGTCCGGCAGTATATATGTCCAAATGAAATCTGCAACAAGCTCTGTGGAACATTGCTACTTGCGAAGGAAAGACCCACAACGCTGACGACCCCGGGAACGATCTATTGCTTCCACACATTGCTCGCTGTACCACTTGTTGCTGAATATTTTCTCGGCAAACCCATACAATTTTTTTTGGGGGCGGAAGCGCTTGCGGCATAGTAGAATCAGCACCATATCAGAGGCTACAATTTTGTTGTATGTCCTGTAATGGCTGCCTCAACCTGGTACCTACCTCCTGGTACCTTCCCATGCAGGCGCTTTGCAACTACCGCTTCCGCTTTGCAACTCCCCTCTGTGCCACGGGTGCCAGCATGTCGCCCCCAGCATCGCGCCCTTGGCTCAGAACTATAACCATGGCCCGTGCGATGGCCATCGCCGCAGCCGCCGCAGCTCTGGGAGGTCGTTGAGGCCACAACAACAACCGAAATGCTTGCACCTGCTGTTTTGCCAAGTAGTCCTATGCGCTTGCTTGCTCGCTGCGAGCAGCTGCTTTGCATGCAGAAAGGAAGATACGGTGATAAGGACAGGTATGTAATGTTAATGAATCTGCGTCCACACTTCCCGCCATCCACGGCTAGGCCCTGCCCTGCCTGCATCCAGTCCCGTCGCTTCCTGACTTGTCCTTTGTTGCGACGGATGCCTTCCGTGTACTTCCATTCATGGAGTTATTCATTCAGATTGGAGCGTCCATAGGACTTACACAGCGAGGAAGAGCGCTCCATCTTCTCCTCTCACTCTTCCTGAAGTTTGGAACGACGCAGCGCGAAAATGAGAGCTTCACGGTTTCCATTTGCAACTTGTTCGTCGAAAATGCCGTACCTTGACATGTCACACCCTGCCGTACCCCGGCATGTCGTACTCTGTCGTACCCTAACCTGTGTACTGCAAACTAAAGGCCTTACTGCCCCGATGGGCCGCTATGCAGCTTGCGAGGAACGACCTGGCTACGAAACGTTGGCAGACGCGATGGTTATCTACGGGACCGGAAACTTCTTTCCAACGGGCCGGGAAGGCAGCATAGAAGGCAGCACTGCCGCCGCTTTTGCTGTGTGCAACTCGGACCCCGACTGCATCACCTTTAACAACTACGGCTACACTGGCAACCTGGGATCGATGGTCTTCCTGGCGACCGGGACGGAGTTCATATGCACCTACTTTAAAAAACGTGCGCCGGGTTGTTTGTGAAACTGGATGAGTATAACTGGATGCGTGAACGAGCGGATAAATGGGGCTGTGTACTTTGATACACAAACCGAGTATGAGCAATTTATGGCAATGGGTTGTGCTGCGCGTTTTACCGAACGTGTCTTGACCGAGCCGGGGATGGAACGGTTCATGTTCGATGATATGGCTGATGGGGGGTATTAGACTGTGTTAGGGTTGGGCCTCGGTATGCTCTACATGACACACATCCATGTGCCCGGAGTACTCCTGGAGTGCTCCAGAGGGGCCCCCATTCCATTCCAGTCACATGCGCCCTGGAGTGTGCGTCCATGATACGCATGAAGGCCGATCCACGATTCGGTGTCGCGGCTATCCACCCACCCGTGCACCCAGCACCCAACAAGAACTTTCGTCATGTTCGAAGTCCGTATCTGCATCCGTATCTGTGTTTGCACTTCAGCGTCCCTTTGCTCTGTGCATATGTATGTATGGCTTAAGGTTACACTGTGGGCCGCGAGAGCCGGGGCCCCGAAGCGAAACACAGTGCAAGGGTCGGGAGCACACTGCACAAGTCGGTTAGTCTTGTGTGCTCCCGACCCCGACTCAGACTGCCAACACACAGCGCAGCCGCTCTGAAGCACCTCCATCCGGGGATGGCGCGGTAGTGTAAAAACGACGGGCTCTCAGATCCCGCTAGAGCGAGTCCACAAGTCTCAGCTAGGGCAAAGGCAAAAGCTCTCTGAAACACCCCCCCAAAATACAACCAACGACAAACGGAACCCAAGGGAAGAAAGAACCGTAAAAAGAAAAAAGACGGCTAGGACAGCCCAGGGAGGGGAGGGCTCCTGATACACCTAACAAGCCAATAAAAACCTCCAAGAAAGAAAGGCGTAGAGAGCTAGAAACCACAAAACGTCTTGCAGCCACCTCACGACAACTGACCTCCTTCCTGGGCTGGTCCAGGGGAGAAGTAGCCAACCAAACAAAAGGGGCCACCGTTCAACACTGCAAAGGCCCGGAATAGACCGGCGAGACCACAAAAGGGATAACGCTGCCACGACACACAGCTCCTAGGGCTTCCAGAATACCGCAGGGGGATTATTGTAGCCCGCGCGGCGCCTCCCGCTTACCGTCACTAAACCGGATCGAATTGCACAGCTCCCACCCTCGTCCCTCGCCAAGCACCCCAGACCCGCAAAGGAGGCGTGCCTAAGTAGAATGGCCCTCCTCGGGCCACAATTCCCCCTCATCCGAGCCCCGTTGCTACCACCAGAACTCAACCCCCCGACCCAGAAAACCTACGTCCTCTTGGCGCTCTCACGGCCACTTCCCCCCTACCCTACCCGCGCAACCCCACCTCCCCCGGGCTCTCCAACACCCTACAACCTCGGAGCGGCACTGGGGAAGAAAAACGATTCCTCCCCGCACCACGTGACCCTCTCCACTCCACTCCCTTCTCCTCTCCATCTCCCGCCTCGGGGTTTCCTCTCACCTATTCCCTTACCCTCCAACCCCTATCCCCCTTCAACTCCTATACCCCGCCCAACCCCTGCCTACCATACTAAGCTCAAAGCGCTCTTAGGCTGTAACTTCCACTGCATCAGCACACCGTAACGCGTCTTCTGAAACCGACAGGACCGGGTGGTCGGGTCCCACTGCCCCAGCCTCTCCGCGGGATGCCCAGCGCCGCGAAAGAGTGCAAACGCGCCCAGAAGTCCACCACTGCCTGGGGGCGGCCCGCTCCAAGGGGGTTGCTACCGGTGCCGCTGCCACCCCGGCTGCCGTTGCTGCTACCATCCCTGTTGCCGTGTTTCGCTCCTGCGTTTGGTCCTTAACCCCCGGCACGTTCAGTGCAGGCCCCGTCTGCGGTCCCACCCCGTCGGCCTGGATGAAAAAGTCCGTTATCCGCCTCTGCCTGGGGCCGGGCGCCTGCCCCTGTTGAGCGTGCTCCTGCTGCTGCGGTTCTTGGCTCGCAGCGCGTTCCTGCCTCTTGCCTGCTGCCCTCTGGCAACATCTGCCAACTTCCATAGCCGACAGGGCCGACAGGGCGATTACATCCCAGATATACGGCCTGTTCGCATCCGTCTGGGGCCAGTACTACCCAGAGTTGCTTTCGGGTGACTCCCCCCACCGCTGCTTCCTCAGAAGACTGTAGATGCCGGTCGATCTGTGCTCGCACCGCCTGCACCACCGGGCATTCCCAAAAGTGATGCATGCATGACGAGCATGGCTGACCAGCTGCTCCACCAAATCCACCACATCTACAGCGTTCTGGATCGTACATATAGATCCGGGCCTGACACTGGTCTATGGGGCCCCCGGCCTTGCCGGACACCCCCCGGCACCTGCGCGGACACTGTGACTGTTACTGCACTGGCCAGGGGCCGCTAACCGTACCCCAACGGGAATGTATGTATGTATGTCGATGTGTGCAGCCTTTCCCAGGTATCCTGGCTACACCTTAAAGCCCTTCATGGAATGGTTTCCGTCGGAGGACGCCGTCGTCGTCGTAGAGGCGTCAGCTGAGGCGGCCAGAGCGCGGTGTGATGCGGAGCCGGACTGCAGCGCCTGGGCCAGCTCCGGGGAGTGTGTGCTAGGCCAACTGGCCCCTGATGTGTTCGCTATAAGCGACTCACAAGTCGCCTTTTACGTAAAAAAAGGTATCAAGTCTTTTTTATTGCTTTATCTTCACATCCTAAATCCCTGTGCCTACCAGACGTACGGCGATCCGTACCGAACTAGCCGTACTTAACCCACCATTAGCACCCGGAGCTTGGTCCCTGTTACAGCGGTACACCTGGATACTGGTGTTGCCGTACGTGATTTATTTCCCAACCACTTTATATTTTGATCTGGGTGGCGAGCACATGCATGCAACACGTACATACATACCGCTCACACAACCTTGCAGAGTGTCCGGACAAATTGGGTTTTGAGGCTCACGCGCACCAGTTGCTCACACACCCGGCGGGCTGCAATGGAACCGGCAACAGCAGCCACAGCGGCGGCGGGGAGCCCTTCGTTGATCGGCTGCCGTATGTCCGGGCGGCGGAGGCCTTTTGCCGGATGAACAACAATTGTTCTGCCTTTAGCAGCGACGGCAGTTATATGATCGGTGGCCCGGTCGAGCTGGAGCCGAAACCCGGCATATGTACCTACAGAAAGCAGCGTAAGCGTGTTGTATGTATGTATGTATGTATGTATGTATGTATGTATGTATGTATGTATGTATGTATGTATGTATGTATGTATGTATGTATGTATGTATGTATGTATGTATGTATGTATGTATGTATGTACGTATGAATGTATGTATGTATGTATGTATGTATGCACCTACCCGGGATGGCGTGTACACGCGCCTCACCTCCCCCGCACGTCTGCCAGTGTTACGAAAAGAAAGGTGTGCATTCCTAACCCCCTTACAATCTCTAATTATAAATGGTCCCCTCCTTCGGCCCTTTGCTCCGACATTCGAAACCCCCCTGCAGTCTGCCCCCCGATGATCGGCTTCACTGCTTTCGAGGGCGTCAGTTTCAGGGTGCAATACCCGCCCGACTCCACCCCCGCCAGCAGCACCTCTTCCCCATCCTCGCTGACCGACGTGTACCAGGTCTGCCGCCAGGACCCCGCCTGTGTCGCCTTCGACAACCTTCACCGCTACTGGAGCATCACCGCGCCGTCGAGTGTGGAGTTGTGCGGCCCAGGCAACACGAATCCTGTTCCCGGGGCCTGCTTGTACTACAAGAACCCGGACGGCGTTACCTGGTCCATCTAGCGCCGCGTGTATGGGTATGTGTGTATGGTGCAGAAGCGTGTTTGAGATGGAGAGGAATGTGGACCGGTGGGAAAAGGGGAAGGTGCTTGTAGAGTTGGGGTTGGTGCACACCTGGAGGGGGGGGGCCGGAGTTGAGTTCGGGCTGAGGGCGGGTTGAGGGCGGAAGGTAAGGGTTACGGCATTGTTGCAGCGGTGTCAGTGGGGCCTGCCTACCTGTCTGTCTGTCTGTCTGTCTGTCTGTCTGTCTGCTAGATTGCCGGCTGGTAAGGAAACGTCCAATAGGGCGACCAATCCAGGTCTGTCGGCGGGGCACAGGAAGGTCGCGAACAGGCCGCACGAAAGGTAATGGCATATGGCAGTAGGTCATATTCATATGCACGGGGAGCCTGATGTCCCAATAGGCCATTCAGAAGAGAACGGTGAGAGGCGGCTGAGGCCACAAATAGCAGCAGCGGTGGCGTCGGCGTCGGCATGCAGCATACCCAAAGGCAGTTGACGCTTGGTAGTGTTGATGGTGGTCGTTGTGGGGAAATTTTGCCATTGCTGGGTCGAAAAAAACCCTTCGCAGGTTCGTAGTCGTCCCGACATAAACAATTAATTTGGCGCCTAATTATACCCTGAATTTGCACCTGCCGGCGGGGTACCGGTACGAGGTCACGACACGTGGTCAACTGACAACACAACAATAGCGTCATCGCTACTGCAGGTAGTGTCTAATTTCATAACAAACCATAAAAAGCGTTATGCATGGATATATAATATGCGTTTGTGATGATCTGCGAAGCGGAATTTGGTGAGAGTTGCTTTCCCCCCGAGTACCGCGTTGCCCTGATTATCATTTGACCGGGATTTAGGGCTATGAAGGTGTCGTACAGCAGGGTGATGTGGGCTTCAGCAACCCTCCGACGTGCACAGGGAGAAAGCTGCAACTCAAGCGTGCATCATCATTCGCCCACACCAGCCGCTGTAGTGGCAGAGCTGGGCAGAGTGAAGCAGCTCCTCGCTTTGTCACCCCTCTACCGCGCCTGAAGAAGGCGGTTCTGCTAACTTCCTGCGGTGCGCTGCAGCTAACCCATCCAGAAGCTTACATCCAAACCATTGTAGGCAAACTGTCTAGTACGGCATGTGGCTGTGGGGGATGGCCGCAATTTCATATGTGAACGGCTGCTGACGCTTGGGTGGCGTTTTATTTGCGATGTATGGAGCCCCGGCAGGGTATGCGTGCACATTATTATTCTCATATATTCTTATATATGGATAAGGCGTTTGTCCTGCACATTATTTTGGGTCGTGTTGGGCCGCGTTACATACGTTGTTGCCAATTATACTTAATATGATGTCCTTGGTGTTTCGGTCTTGGTTGGATATTTTGTCCTGTTTGCCAAGACAGGCCGGCTCATTCCTGTGAGCGTCGGTTGGCATCGTGGGCCCCCGCTAAAGCAAAGTCGCTCGGCAAGCTCTTGGTAAGGTCTTTTATAAAGGTGGAGCCTGTGGTGGGCCTGTGTTGCCTATTAGCATCACAGATTCAAATTCAAATTTGGCAACGCTTTATTGCATTAACTTAAAAAAAATGAGAAATGTATCGCCGATTCCGGCAGTATCGGATCGGATACTGTCCGACACCTTTCCCATTCAGGGTAGCTACAGCAAGTAGCCGTAACTCATATGAGTTGGTTGCCTGTTCAGGCACGGCAACGGTGCGGCGAGATTATAAGCGGGTTCTGAGGTGAGGTGTCCGTTCCCCCCTGCGGGTATGTCCCAGCTGCAGCTGCAGGCTAAAGATGTATATAATAAATGTAAGTGACGCATGATGCTTACGGGAAATGGAATGTGAACGTAGCCGCATTCGGACGAGTTGACGAACACGATTAGTGACGAATTTTTGAAATACGAATTTGAATTTTTCATTGAAATGCTGCGGCACCAGCAGCCGCAAATTGCCGTATGCCTTACTTATACCGCGAAAGGTTACAGCAGTCCCCATCTGAAGGTATATTGCTCCACAGCACAAATGTTTCTTATCGCCGCGAAAAGTGTGAAACATTGACTAACCGTTGTTGCCGAAATAGGTTAGTGCTATCTCATCGAGGCCTTTCTTCCAGCGACCTACTTTCCTTTTCTCTATCCTCTTCTGACAAACTGTAAAGCATGCTCAACTCGTGAGAGCGGAGTGCTGAGCGTTGGTCCGATCCCTGTCCAAAAAAGCACATCTCTTAAAAGTGCCTCAGAAGGCCAATTCGTCTGTAAAGACACCAGCTAGCCACAGCTTTGTTATTTTTTAAATACACGTTCACTGTGGCATAGCTGGTCGCGACTTTAATAGCTGGTTCAGCGCTGAGCTGGATCATAAATTCAGCAAGCAAATGCGTTTCCTTGCCCATAAACTGAGAAAAAACACAACTCAAAATAAAGAGGCCGCGTGCATGTGCGTACGTAGCCGCCAGAGCACCCAAATGCCACAAACAAGCTTGGCAGCAGGACGCCGAGGGGGAAACAAGTCAGATATGGGGATAGGGAGCAGACACGGACACCCGATGCCCCCGATGAACCGCATCAAGGAACACAGGAAAAAGGGGACTTGGGACATTACACTTTCCATGATTGGACTCCCGTACGGCTTCCGTACATATGACACGCAAACGCATGCCGTACAATGCGACGACTGCAGAGCCTTCTGTCAGTCCATCGTCAGGAGGTGTCGGGATCAGCCTCTGGACCCGCACACCGCAACCCTGATGACATTGTTCCCGACACGCCCTAACCCCCCCCTTCACAGCCCACCTCAACCTCCATGAAAACGATTATTGTGTTTTGTGCAGCTTCCCAAGAACGGCGGAGGTGACGACGGAGCGAGGCACTCATACAAGTGATTAATTAAAATTAGCAAGGAGCAGAGCCGCTGACGCATGCGGGATAAGTATAACGATTACAAGAAGGAGACGCAGGAAAACGCGCATCTGCGTCAAAACTGGTGGCTGTGTCAGCTGAAAGAAGCTGGACGAAAAAATCAGACAAAAAATGTAAGTCGTCTTTGTCGACGTAGCTTAAATAATTGCTTGAAGCATCTCAGGCGGTTGGTTAGTTAGTTCGTGAGGCTGTGTCGTCCAGGTCCTATGCGGCCGCACCCACACACCCACACACCGAGGATTGTGGTTAACATCACTCGAACCTCCCTCCCCCCGTCCGCTCTCCATCCCCACGTAACCAAAATTCCCTTTTCTGACATTCGGGCACTTCCCCCCAAAACCCTCTTGGGCACTTCCCCCCCTCCCCCTCATTTCCCCCTTCCCCCCCCCCGATACTGATCAACCCGGGAGGATCTTCTCCTCCTCCTCCCCCCCTGGAGCAATCCCCCCCCTCCCCCCCTCTCTCACGTCCCTACGGATAAGCCACATGGAACGAGCACCGAGACCGCTCCAGAGACCCCTCCTCCTCCTCCTCCTCCAGACCTCCTTCCCGGGTCCTTACCTCCAAGCCCCCCAGCCGCAGCCCTAGAGGCTGTTGCTGCCGCCCGCCCGCCACCTCCTCAACCCCACCCACCCCCTCCCCACTCTGATCGAGGTCTCCATCTCCTCCTCCCCGCAGCAGCAGCAGCAACCTCCGCTGCTCCTGGAGGCCATGGAGAGCCGGTCTGCTGGTCCTCCGCGCCGCCGCCGCCGCCGCCTCGGTGAGACAGCGCTGCTGGAAAAGCGACATGATGGTGGCGGAGCCGGTGGCGATGGCGTAGGCGTAGCCATTGACGTAGTCCTCTGGGACTTCCTGATAGACCCGCCACTCGCCCTCGGCGACCTGGGGGGAAGGGGGGAGTACGGGGGAGGGGAGGGGGAAGACGAACCACAAACGAGTGAAGCTGCTGCCAGGGCAAGAGTGTAGGGGGGAGGGGGAGCGGGTACGTGCGTGTATGTATATGCGTGTGTATATGCGTGTGTATATGCTTTTGTTGTTGTTGAGGATGAAAAAGGCTCGCGAGAGCTCGTAAGGCCCAGACGAGCCAGGAGGCTCATGGACCTTCGCGAGTTCTGGGGAGGAGGGCAGAAAAGGAAGTAAAATCCACCCTTCTTAGAGGTGGGAAAGCACCAGCAAAGCAGTGCCAAGGAAAAGCTCACCTTCCCAACGGGCTGGTGAACCCAGTTGGAGAGGGTCCGTACATTGGTGTACGGAATACGGCGCTTGGTGGTGCTAAGCCGGTGGTACTTCTCCAGCGCCTCCGCCACACCCACACCCTCCATTGCGGATACGGCAATCACCTGTACGGCATATTGATTCCCGGTGGGTGGTTAGTTAACAAACCGCCAATACGCAACAGGCAGGGCGCACACACCCACATACATACATACATACCGAACACCAGCTGGGTCACTGACCAAGCGGGCAATCTGTCTGTGGACCCTTTCCTGGGCCCCTGTCCTAGGTAACCCCCGTCCCCCCTCCCGTACACTCCCCCCTCCCGTACACTCCCCCCTCCCGTACACTTTCCCCCCCCGCCTCCACCTCACCTCCCGGGCACTCAAGCTGTCCCGGGATCCACTTCCCCGCTTGCCGTACACTAGGGCGGTGGCAATGGCCTGAGCGGCGTAGTCGCGAGCCTTGATCTCCCAGGGGGCGCCCGTGAAGAAAAACTGGGGGGGGGGGAAAAGAGGGGGAGGGGGAGGGGGGCCGGAGTGCTAAGACGGTTGCATAACGTGTTTTGTGGAGGAGGAGGACGGCGTTTCGACCACCTTGGGGAGATACAGCAACCAGTCGTACAGGTAAGTTACAGGCTTACATTTCAAGTATGCTGCTGCACGAGCGGTAGCGGTCATATCAACATTGCCTGTTGCGCCCCGGCCCCATCCGTTGCCGGCCCCCTGCCCGACCCCACCGCCCACCCCTCCCCTCGGCCCCCTTTTTATCCCCCTTTTCCGCACCCGTACACCCGTACATCCGTACATCGCCCCCTCGTCCTTCACACCTCTCCACTCCCATAAAGATCCCAAACCTCCCACCACCACCACCACCACCACGGACACCCACCTGCCCGTCAACCTCGGCGCACTGTGTATAGTTCCACAGCCCCGGCCTGTCTGACTGTGACACCTGCGGGTACTGCAGCCCCGTGCCCTGGGACATAAGGCCCCAGTATCTAGCCTCCAGCTCAGCAACCAGCTCGTTGCGGTACGGCAGGGAGGAGCTCCCCCGGGGGGTGCGGACGGCACCAATGAGGGCGTCGCTCAGGGCTAGGTTGCCGTCAAGCTGTACGGCAAAGGGCGGCAAGGAGGAGGAAGAGATACAGGGGGACGGGGTGCCAGAAGCGGAAAATCATTCACAATACACACATAATGCATGATGGATGCATGGATGGATGCATGGATGGATGGATGGATGAAACGGCAGAGCACAGCACATTTACCAGATGCGGTGTCCCTAAGCATACATACATACATACATACATACATACATACATACACACATACACAAACACATACACAAACACATACATACACACATACATATACATACATACATACATATGCACGTCCGTACGTTGTCGGTTGCGAAGAGGCACTCTCCGTACAGCGCCGTGGCATTGGGTCCCTCCGTTTCCTCTGGCCGGAAGCACTGGTTGGGGAAGCCCTCCGACTGCATCACCCAGGTGCTCTTCTTGCACACCCAGTTCACCGACACCGGGCTGATACACACGTCGCCAACCCTAGGGCGGAAAGGGGGGGAGAGGGGAAGTCATCATGGTGATGATGATGGCGGTGGTGATGACAATGGCGGTGAGGTGTCAGGTTTCGGAGGTCCCTCCCGGGTTGCGGGTCGTGTCGTGGTGTGTTTTTATTGTCGCGACCTGTAGTGCCGTCCAGCGCGGGTCGTACACATCGGAGGAGCTCCCTCCCCCTCCCCTCCCCCTCCCCCACTACCACTACCACATGCCCCCTCGCCTCCCCCTCTTTCCCCCACCCCTAAAACCCACACCGGGTAATCCTCCCGTTGTCATTGGCCTGATCGCAATCCGGTGGGCTGAGCACCCCCCCCAGTTGGGGCGACCAGCCCGAGGTGCCGAAGTAAATCATTTCGCTGATGTACGGCCCACAGGGGGTCAGCAGCTCTTGAACACACAGACCGGCGGCGGTGGGCCCGATGCCTGGAACGGGGGAGAGGTTGGGTGGTTGGGGGAACCTGTTATGTAAAAACACGCACAGCCACCCAACCACGGTTCACTGTATCAACCCGACCCGAAACATGAAAGCCGTACTCCGCCGCCGACACGTCCGAGAAACCCCCTGCTCCCCCCCCATTCCCTCCCCTTTCCACCCCTGACCCCCCTCTAAAACTCTAAAACCTTAAACCCCCCAACACACACACACACATACCCCACCCCACCCCGCGTAGCTCACCCGTGGTCACCACCAGTACATCCTGACCCATGAGGGACCCCAGTACGACACCACCACACACGGTTTCGGAGCGGGGTTTTGTCAACTGGTGCCGTAGGTTGGCCAGGATGTGGTGGGCCTCCGGAGTGCCCGAGAAGTCCCCCGGGTCAGCGGTGAGGATCAGGCTGACGCCGCGGGGGAGGGAGTCCAGGGAGGGAATGCCCAGGTAGGCAGCGCACGCGGCGGAGTGGGAGGGAGCGGGGAGGGTGACGGGGCTTGCCTGCAGCTGCGGGCTGCGGGGGCCCCAAGGATAAAGGGGAAGAGGGAGGGGGGAAAGGTGGCGAGCTGGGCTGTGAGGAGGGAGTGGGGAGTGCGGGTAGAGAGAGACGGGTGTAGGACGGGGGCAACTGGGAAGGGTTTGTGTGGATGATGAGAAACGGAAGGATCTGGAGGCTATACTGGGCAAGGAGTGGATTGGTGGCATGGTTGCGGAGTACGGAGCTGGAGGCAGACGTCGGGTGCGGCCTCCGTTTCCTGGGGATGAGGATGCTTGCGCCGTGCACGGGGACACGCCCAGACGCATTCGCGAGCAGCGGAAAGATGCGCGTCAACCACATACCTTTGATGCCTCAGATGCGGAAAGTCCTGCCATGCCAAGAAGCCAAAAGCTGCGACAAGGGAGGCCATGAGCGACCAACGGATGATGTTGTAAACTCGGCGGCGCTTAGCATCTTCTAGGATCTCATTCGGGCAGTTGTCGGCTATTACGGGCAATTGCCCGTCGCTGGGCGACCCCTTCAACATGACGCCTGGTCAATTATCCTTTTCGCCAGGCGTCGCTGTCCGCCTATCGCCTGCCCAGCGGTGTAGATACCTAAACCAGTAAATACAAGCTAACTGCAATGAGGTCAGCTTTAAACCTAAGGTAAGGTAAGAATGGAAACGTGACCATTGGCCGTTGATTGCAACGGTCACTGGCCACGACAAAATCCTCCTTGATACGCCAGTCTTCGCTCTTGGGTTAAAGCGTAACATCTCCATATTCAATTGTCAAGACCAGATTTAAATTCAATAAGTCGAGACCGGATTTAATTTGTGCGGCCCACTGCGTATCGCGGCACTAGTGCCCATTGCGATTTTCCATAAACGGATTACTGGTTTGGGCAGCACAAGGCAGAACTTGGTATATTGAGGAGCTTTACATTACTCAGGGCCGTTCACGTGGGTGAACGGAAAGGTGGGGCAGGACTGTCGGAAATCCCTATCCCTCCTCAGACTTAATTATTTCGGAACCTGTTTTAAATCCGTATCGTTTGCCAAATAGTTCCAAGCACAAGGGAGCAGGCGATTTGAGCATCGTTCTTGATGGTGATGCTGTGCGATGCCTTACCCGCTGGCCGTCCCGTAGCGCACGACTGTGGCACTGCGGATGATCATTTTACCCAAATAAATAGTTAAATGAGTGAACACCCGACCATCTGGTGGAGTAGAGGTACGGTAGGTTTCCTTCTCTTCGCTGCCCTTTGTGACGTGTGTGTGTGCGGTTGCTACATTGGGCTCCAGACTCACGGAGAGTAGAGCCAGCGGGCCGTGACGTGGATAGTGGTGCTGAGTGTGAGCCGGATATGGGATTGGATGTGGGGTTGGGGCCAGCGGTGCTTTGATTACCTGGTGTTTCTTCACCTCTTCATCCGGCTTTTACAGTTTCATTTCCCACGGGTGCGGCAGTGTCTGAGAATGCTCTTTGTTCGAAACAAGATGTCCCCGTATGGCACAGCTGCTGCGCAGCAGCGTCCAGCAGCTCACTGCAACGCTTGGCCCTCATCGCTCCCACCGATATGGCTTGGCAGCTGTATGGCTGTAACGGACTGTATCGTAGAGTTATGCTTCGCCAAGTCATATGACGGCACGGACTTGTGAAACTATGCATGTTGATTAAGTGCTCGTCCTGTAGTGTAGTACGGCAAGTGCGGCGCGGGAGGAGCAGACCGGAATTGGCCAGAGGACAGTGACTGATACGGTAGTGCGTTACAAAGATTAGCTGGGAACAAAGCGCTGAATCCAGACAACGCTAGTTCGCCAGTCAACCGTGCAAGCAAGCGCAAGTCAGAACGTCGTCTGTTGGGGATTTTGAATTGTTTAAATAGTGATTTACTTTGTATTCGGGACCCAGCTCAATAGTAAAGTAGATAAGGCGATTTGACGTTGCTGGCATATCGGTCTCCAGTAACAGCGAAGTGATGGCAGAGCGCGAGCAATCGCGCGGCGGAGGCCAAGAAGGCTTGGAGGACATCCTCCAACAGCGGGACGAAGGAGGACACCAGAATGGCGGAGCACCTAGTTACCCGGAGGGGGCCGATGCGGTGAGTAACAGACGCCAGCTATTGCTCCGCGCGGTCAGACTGTAGGCACAGCCAGCCGCCGCAAGTTCTGTTATATCAAAGGCATGGGAGAGACCGGACCCAGTTTTAAAATAGCGGGAAAGGGATGCGCCGCCGCTGTTGTTTGACCAGGCTGGATTAGAAGCTACGGGTCAGGCTTAGCTTATGAAGAACACGAATCTGTAGACCGCGAGTGGCCGACTCAGAGTATTAGTGCTCGTGAGGTTGGGTCCGTTTCCGGTGGATGGCGCCGCGGCAGAGGGGTAGTTGCTTTGAGATGGCGCAGCGGGGTCTGTTATCCCAACGGGTCCCTGTCCTGAAAGCAGCCAAAAGACCGCAATAGCGCCTAGGCAGGGGCACGCCCACTGGCGCCACGCCCGGGAAG